CTGATTAGCTTCTCATCAGACTCATTCTCAGCTCTCATTAAACTCTGCTTCTTCTTAAGCTATTTATTAATTTTATACAGACTGATTATGAAAACTATTAAGTTCTTGTTCTTCATATAATTATGAAAAAAAATAGTCTCAATGAAGTTCATATTCATCATTTGTGATGCTGTCTCCTCTCAAGTTAGTCTTTGTCTTGTTTTAGATATTATAATTAAGCTGATTTCTTTTAATCTTCAAAGCTGAGTCTGATACTTCTGTTTAATCTTCTTGTTCAGTTTGATTTTGCTTTATTTTATATTCATTTAATATTCAGACTTAGAGTTCAAATACTTCAGTATTAATCAGAGTTTTATTTTCAACATCAACTCTGTCATCTGTTCAGAGATAAACTATTCATTTGATCAAATCAAATATCAATTTTTAATATCATATCATATATTCTGTGCTATCAACCACTTTCATCCCAGGATGACAAAGTGCTGATCTAGATCTGTTATCAATAGAAAAATATTCTAAAATCTTTAGTCATTCACTTAGAGATTTAAAGTCAATATGTAGTCTATCATCTCATCAAAGATGTTATTGTATCTCTTCATATAGTATTTAAATAAGAGTTTTTAAAACTTTCTATTAAAAACTCTTATCAATTTTATGACATATCAAATATCAATAAAATTTACATTCTTCGCTTCAGTATCAGCAAGAGAATTTATAGAAGTAGAAATTTCATTATAGACTAATTTGATTGATATATTAAAGTTTTTTTCTTCAATCAACTTCTTTATATTAAATCTCTTACAGGTTATTGAACTACCTGAGATAAAGTCATCTTTTAAACTCACTTTTTTCTCTAATTTATTGAAGACTCAGAAGCATCATTCTCTGTGAGCTCAGTGATCAACTGATGAGATTTCTATTTCATGAAGCAGTTTTTTACAATGTGATCTTTTCTCTTACAGTAGTAGTACTGAATGTTTAAATAAATACTCATAGTTTTTTTTATAATAAAGAATTTTGTAGCAGAGATGTCAGAGAGAATCTGACTGTTGAAAATATTAAATTTATTTTTTTATAAAATATTTAACTTTTGAATAATATTAATTATCTGAAAAGTATAAGCTGTTTAAGCACAGATCTTCTAAAACTTAGTATATATATTGATGATTGTATTGACTACTGCTATCATTCTCTGAATATTAAAGAACAGCTTGTCATTGAAGTCTGTCTTGTAGTTCTCTTTGACAATCATGATTTCACTAATCAGATATAAGAATTTTGTGATAAATTTATAATAATTATTCTCATTGCACATAATCAGCTTGTAATAATTACTTTTAACATTTTGCAGCTTGTTAACATTCTCATATATTAACTTAAAATGCTCAAATATCACTTCTACAGTCTGATATTACTCAGAATGATTTTCTTTCATATAGAATACAATATGATATGCTGTATTCTCATTCATTCAGTTCTCAATGTATACAATTCTCATGTATTTAGTATAGTAGTAATTGATGTTCTTCTAAAGCTTATTCTTCATTCAGAAGAGTTAGTGTTCAAATTTTAACTTTTTGTCATTAGTGAGATGTTTTGAGTCATCAATTTTGACAGATCTTCTAGCAGTCTCAGAGAAAATGACATCTTGACTTACTGGTTGATTGCTGACTATCATGTAAATCAGAATGTGACTAAGTTCATCACATTCAGCAATTAACTCATCAATTTGACTTTACTTGATAGCAGTTTAATTAGTAATATTATTTCATTTCATTCTCAGACATGTGATTGTATTTCTCAATGTTTTTTTGTTGTCAAAGATATCATTAAAGATTATCACTAACTCATTATAAATATGATCACTATTTGAATGAATTGTCTCTGTGAATTTTTCAATTGAGATATGTGATTTATCAACTAGTTTTGTTAGAATATATCATCAGTTCTTTTGATCTCTTTCAAAAAATTGAAAGCTTGCAGTGATCATCTGATGTCAGATTGAGCTGTTGTCTTTGACAGTACTGTTATCTTCAACAGTTGATCTGATATGTTATCAGACTTTCAACTAGCAGATTTTAATTTAACTAACATATTTGAGTTTTTCACTAAAATCAGAGTGAAAAGATAGAAGGAAACCTTAGTATTATGTTGAGAAGTGAATGCAAGCTACATATGAAGAAATCTCTCTGCATTACTAACTGCTATGTAACAAAAATACTAAAATTGATGAGAAAAAAAAGATATTAGAGTCTGCTCAGATTATAACAGCTCACATGATCACATGATCACATGACCAGATCAATCAATCTGTGGGATGGTTGAACCTTCTATTCGGAGGAGCTAGCTAGGTTATTGCTATATTACATACAAGTGATCACGTGTGGGAAGGGCAGTCATTAGAGCAACACCAATGCCACCCAGGCAGGCGCCGCTACACCCCCCCTCACATCACCATGTGGGATCTTGAATGCCATATGCAAAAAAGGAAAAACTAGCTATGCCATCCTCAAATTCATTCAAATCATGCTACATACATTAAGTTTGGACATTCCTGCCTTTTCCACCTGTAAAATCAAGTAAATCAAGGAATTGTTGAAATGTCACTGTGCTCAGAGGTTTAGTCAATCTGTCTGCTGCCATTTCTTCAGTTGAGATGTATTCAATTGAGATAATGCCATTGTTCAATTGGCTGTGGGTGTAATGAAATCACATGTTGATATGCTTGCTCCTAGCAGTGATCACAGCTATAGTGGTAGATTGATCACACCTTTATTATCTGCCTTGATTAACAGGGGGTCATTCACTATAAAGCCCAGATCCATCATCATGCTTCTTAACCATATTGCTTCATGTATGGCCTCACTCAATGTTATGTATTCAGCCTCATTGGAACTCAAAGAGATGCACAGCTGCTTGCTTGATTGCCATGAAATTGACATGTCAGCAAGCATAAAAACATAGTCAGATGTAGACTTTCAATTATCATTCAATGGGCTGGCTCAGTTGGAATCTATGTATCTGACCAGCATATATGCCACATTAGAGAAACCATTCTTAAGTCCTTCATCATCATCATCCTTCACATAAAATATGCTGATTTCACGCGTGCCTTTCAAATATTGAATGACATGTAATAGGGCCTTTCATATCTTAGAGGTAGGGACAGCATTCTTCTATGCCAATAGAGAAGCTGCATGAGTGATATCCAGCTGCAGTTTAACTGCCAAATACTGCAAGCAGTCAACATCATGTTGAAATTGCTGTTTTGTAAAACCAGCCTCTTTTTCAGGAACAGAGGAGTCATCCAAATGTAGACTCTCATCCATGAGTGTTTAGATAGTAGTTGCATCATCCAGGTGAAAATCTTCTATCAATTGATCAATATAATGTTGAAGGATCAATTTGATACCATCATTCATACATTTTACTTCCATGCCTAGATATTTGATCAGTTCATTCAAATCTTTGATCTCAAACTTCTGGTGCAGAACATCAACTAGCCAATCAGCATCCTTCAGGGCGTCCACAAAAATATGAAGATTGTCAATGTATATGATCATATATAGGTGTTTTCAGGCTGAATGCTGCCAAATAGTGAAGTCATAAGGACTTGAGGTAAAGTCATTCTTCTGTAGCAGAGCTGTCAAGTAATCATATCATATTTTGACAGCTAGATCCAACTCATATAGAGATTCTTCAACTGCACAAACAAGTGTATGTGGAGCTTCTTCTTTGAAGCCAGTAGGTTGTCCCATATAGACTGTTTTTCCAAGTCTTCTGTGTAAGTACATCATCACTATATTCATCTGCTGTAGGGTCTAATCACATTTTGCAGTGATCACAAACATCATGTGATTTATGATATCTGTAACTACAGGGGTGTATGTTTCTTGACATGTTTTCTTTTTGAGTCAATTGCCACAAATTACTCATCTGAACTTCCACAATATGTCATCTTCATCAGCATTGAGGTCATAAAGGCAGTTCTTTTCAACAAAGACCCAGTAGCCAGATGCCACTGACTCATCATGAAGAACATCAGAACATGGAATTAATGTTCAAGTCTTCTGATATTTAAGATTGTCAATTTTGTGTTACATAGATTTTCTTTAATATGATCTCATTTGCAGATGATTAATTGCATCCTTGAAGCTTTTCAGCAAGTCACCTGTAATTGAGGAAGGTGTATATATCATGAAGACTTTTACAGACCTCATTCATGAAATGTGTGGTTCTGAAAAATCAAAAACTTCAGAATCATTCTTTACCAAATAGATGGTAGAGGTCAGGGTGTTTTCAACTTTAATTGTTGCAGTAGTAGTGGAATCCTTTTGTATTTCCTGCACTTTTGTAGGGAAAACTATATCATACATATCAAAAATCTTATCAGAGGTAGAACTCCACACATGATAGATTGACTGGCTGTAGAATTCAATAAGTTTGCATAATTCAGTCTGAGCAGACAGCTTATCCACTGGCTTCTGTGATTCATGAAGATGGACAAAAACATCAGATTCAAACTCATAAAAGTGAGTGATCTGCAGTGGTGTGTTCATTAATACTGAAAAGGAGATTGTATAAGGACTACAGATAAGCTCCTTGCTGTCAATATTTATGATTGCAGGTCAATACTTCTCATTATATAAGATTGTAGATGTGAGTATATTATTCATGATTGAAACAACTGTCTCTAGAACATCTGCTCAGAACTTCTTTGAAATTTTCTTTTCTATAATGATTGCTCTGACTTGTATCATAATGGTGCAAATGCCATGTTCAGATACATCATCTTGATGAAATGATTAAGGAGTAGTTGATTCTTACACTGTGCTATCAGCAATCATTAATGTTGTCATCTTTTGCAATTGAAAAACCTCATCTACATCTGTCCTGATGTAAGCAGGAGCTAAAAAACTGAGGTTCTTAATAAACTTAACTCAATGAGAATAATAATCAAATACTTGATCTTTGCTATGTAGGAAATAAATTCATCTGAATCACATCATATCATTTGTGATTAATATAAAATATTTTATGCCTTGGTGAAATTCTATAAAATGATTGTCTGTATTGCTCAATGTGTAGCCATCACCCACCAGATCAATATGAATCTGTTCCATTGGCCTTACAGCCCGTGGCATGGAGGTGATCAAGTATTTATGCATTATACCTGCTTTGACGCAGGTATTGCAGAAGAAATTAGTCTTGAGACTCTTGATGCAGATATCAGATAGTGAATTCTTTGCCAAAGCTATAATGACTCCCGTGTGTATATGTCTCAGATCAACATGCCACTCAGCAAGCATTTTTACAGCTGTAGATGATTCTTGAAATTGAGGTTGAGCATTGACAGGATTGTTGTTGCCAGTGATGGTCAAGGCCTTAGCATAATCATTGTCATATATATGTGATTTTGCTGTGAAATAGATCACTTTTGACTCATAATGAGCATCAACTTCTGACATCCTTTCAACTATTTTATAAATTGAACTCTGAGCTGTGCAAATCGCAGTGAAAATAACGCCATTGAGGGCCTTGATGATGAAGTAGGACAGAGTGTTTGAATTTGAAAGTTCATATTGAAAACCCTGGTCCTTGTAGAGGGTTAAGCTCTAAGAACTAGAGGCTAGTCCTCCTATATAATAAGGACGAATTGCTTGGGAAAGGGAAGAAAAGAATGAGATGAGAACACAAGCTTAAGCAAGCTCGCGTAGCATGATTATGTGCGCACGTGCAGCATGATCATATGTGCACATGCAAACAATGGCTAGGCTGAGTCAGCCAGCCAGAGCGAATCTAGGGGTTCAGCCGCTTATAGTCCTCCAACTTAGCAAAAGATACTAAGTTGACAGTAAGATTTGAAATATAATGAACATCATGTATAGATATATCTCCTCTGTCAGATTCTAGAATGAGATTTTCAATCTCTTTGACATGATCATATCTGTCATCTGCTGTATGAATCTTGAGGTCACTGTCATAGATTTTCTATTGAATAATAGACTGCTTTTCCCTTGTCATATGAAATCTTGCACATGTGTCAAGAAATCAAGACTTGAAGGTAATGTTAGTGATTGCTGACAGAGCAATTGCAGCATTGACAGCAGCAGATTGTGTCACTAGAAGATTAGAAGATTCATTCTTTTTATCATTCTTATTCTTCTTTTTGTTCTTTCATTTATTGTGATTGCTGATGTTGCTATTTTCTATGAACTTGACAATCTTATTTTTATTTGTCTCCCTTCACACTTCAGTGGCAAGTTCAGGGTGTAATCACCAACAAGAGTCCTTAACATACTGATTTAAGTGGCAGATCTCACATTTGAAACTATTTGAATTTGTGATGTCAGACAAGTTGGAGTTTGACATGAAGAAGATAGCTACATTGACTCATAAAGGTTTGAGACATTCATTGAACTTGTTCATATGATTCATTAACTGCTTCATGAGATTGTCAATGTCAATATTTTTAATAGAGTTCTGGCCAGTCATGTAAAAATCATTCAAATATGTCTTGATAAAAGACTTTTGATGTTCTTTCAAATCAATAAAGAAAAGATCATGATAGAAGTTCTCTGAATCATTCATCAATTTCTTATGATGTGCAACTAAGTAGTGAAATCTTCTTTGAAATGCCAAGTAATCATTGTTGACATGTAGGATAGTCAGCTCCTTCATGACATTGAAATGTTCTTTCATTAAAGACATCACATATTCAACATTAATCTTTTTCCATAATACAGCAGTGTTGTTGGGTTCCAAGACTTCAATAGTTGTATGTACAGGCCTTAATAAGAATTGCAACATATGTTGATAGAGTGCTTTGATTCAAATATTTCATTTTTCAGTATTCAACATGTTTTGACTAATATCATCTGAGCAGACATGTTGGTTCTTGATTAGAATGTCAGTTTCATCAATGACTTTGATATCTGCAAGAATTTCCATTCACCAGATTTGATAATTAGTATCATTAAATGTAGTTAGCACTTTAGTATTCATAGCTCTTTGAACATTCTTTTGATATTCACAGATCTGAGATTTGAAATCATCTGCAAATGTATTGTTGTTGATATTTGGAGTGTTTTGACATGTCATTTGTTGACAAAAGATCAACAAATCTGCTACACTCATTGTAATCATACCACTCATGTTAGAAGTAGGCATTTGAGACTGAGGGCTTGGGGTTCCTTCACTAGCTGCTGTGAATTCATGTATAGACTCAGGAGCAGGCATTTCACCAGGCTTGTGACTTGATGAATTCATGATGCAGTTTGAACTTGATTTCTGCTCCAGGCCTTCTAATTCTTCATTCTTGTCTAGTGATGAGAACACTCCAACAGCTCTAGAATGTGATCATAAAGATCACTTTCTCTCTGTTAAAGAGGTAGATAGTCCAGTCATTAGATCAGAGAGTGAACTCATCCAGACATGTACACAGCTGTTCTTAATGCAATTTTTATTAAAAACCAGCTATCCAGGCTATAACCTGTGGGATGGTTGAACCTTCTATTCGGAGGAGCTAGCTAGATTATTGCTATATTACATACAAGTGATCACGTGTGGGCGGGGCGGTCGTTAGGGCAACACCAACGCCACCCAGGCGGGCGCCGCTACACAATCTGCTAGATCACATGTAGGGCGTGGTCACATGATGTAGATAAATCTAGCCCCGGCGCTGAGTCTAACATATTTTCTCAAAAACTCTTTCTGATCAATTATCGCTTTTTTGAAAAAGAGTAAACTATAAGATTAGACTTGAAAAGAGAGCTGATCTGAATAAAGCTATCAGTCATACATTATTATACTGAATAAGTTTAAAGAAACTTGACATAATTAAACAATATATTGAAATTAATCTAAAGAAGAGTTTTATTTCATCTATAATCTCTTTATTTATATTTTCAATTCTTATAGCTTATACAGTGAGCAAGTTGAAATTTTGTGTAAATTATCACCAGTTTAATGCAATCTCAAAGAAGAATTGATACTCAATTTTATCAGTTGATGAGCTGATAGAGAAGGTAAACAAAGATAAGTTCTTTATCAAATTAAGTATTCATCAAGACTTTCATTGAATATACATGCTCTCTGAGAATGAACATCTGACTATCTTAAAAATGTATTATAAAATATACAGGTATAAGATCATGTTCTTTGATCTAAGTAATGATTTGATGTTCTTTTATCACTTTATAAATACTATTTTTATTGACTATATGAATTAATTTATAATTGCTTTTGTGAATGATTTACTTATCTATAGTAAAATCTTAAAAGAATATAAAAAGTATATCAAGAAGATATTAATTAGACTGTGAGAAGCTGAACTACAGATAAGTATCTCAAAATATGAGTTTTATATTCAATAGACAAAGTACTTAAGTTTTATTATCACTGATCAAGAAATCAAAGTGAACTCAGAAAAGATTGTAGTGATATCACAATGAACAGTGTCTAGTACAGTAAAAAAAGTTTAGTTCTTCTTAATATTTTGCACTTTATATAGATATTTTGTCAAGAAATATAGTCAGATTGTGAAGTCACTGTTTAAACTCATTTGAAATAATTAATTTTTTAAGTAAAATGAGATCTGTCAATATATTTTTGATTAAATGAAGAGAGCTCTATTTAAAGTCTCAGTGCTTTATCATTATAACTCAAATTAAGAGACTTAAATGAGAATGAATACTTCAGATAATGTCACAGCTAACATTCTATCTCAGTTATATAAGAATAGGTAATGATATATAATTATCTTCTACTTTATCTCAATAAATAAAGCAGAGAGAAACCACGAAACTCACAATAAAAAGATGTTAGTAATTGTAAAAGCACTAGCAGAATAATATGCTGAGCTGAAAGATTTTCAAAGAATAGAGAGATTTAAAATCTTGACTGATCATCAGACTTTTGAGTACTTTATGACAATTAAAAATTTCAATATCTGACAAGTGTGCTGAGTAAAGTTTCTCTTCTAATTCTACTTTCTAATTCAATATCAGTTTGAGTATTAGAATACACTAGCAGACACATTGCGTCAGCTAAAAATTCAGAAAAATAAAAAAATACTCAAATATAATTATTTTTCAAGCCAGAAAGATTGAACTCAAAGATCATTAAGAAATTTATTGAGATCAATACTTTAGACACAGACACACACATTCTTGATAAAGTCAAGACAGGAAATAAAGAGATGAAATTACTGAGATTATAATGTAAGAAAGTATAATAAGAAGAATAATACTGAGAGCTGATGAACGAACTTTTATATTTTAAAGAGTGCTTAGTGATATTAATTGAGAAATATTTTACTCTCTGAGCACATCTTCTACAAAAGATTCTTGAGTAGTCATCAATAGTATATTCTGAGAAGAAAAAACTATACTTGGTAGTGAAAGCAATATATTACTAAAATGACTGAATTAAAGATGTTGATTAGTATATGAACAATTATCTGATATATTGATAAATAAAGATCTTCTATGATAAAACTTCAGAACTGCTGAAATTGCTATCAATCTTCAGCAGAGTCTGATAGCATATCTCAATAAAGTTCATAAATGACTATATAATAAAAAAAAACTATAATATAATATTGATAATTGTCTGTTGACTAAGTAAGAAGTCTATATCTATTTTTATCACAAGAAAGATAGATATCAAAGAGCTGATTAAACTATTCTTGAAGTGATAATATAAATATTATTAAGTATCAGATTCAATTGTAATGTCAAGATTCTCTATACTAGCTTCTTGCTCTCACACTGCTTACTAAAGCACTTATCTTTACACTGCTTATCAAAACACTTTAGAATTAGCATCTTTTAAAGAATTAGTATTATCTTAAATTTCAGCATTTAAAATCAGCATAAATTAGCACTTCTCAAAACTTAATTTATTAGTATCAATACTTTTTGAAGAGTAGAATTAGCACTTTATGAAGATTCAAATCATTATATTATTAATTCTTTATTTTATAGAAAATTAAAGATAAAATCTATTACTACTCATTTATATATATAAACACTTTGAATCCTCAAAGTTTCTTCAAAAAATCAGTGATTAGCTACTATTTAATTCTATATATATATTTTATTCATCACTATTCTCTTCTTTTCAAAGCACTTATAGCATCTATATACCTATTATTACAATCTTAGTTATAGAGCTTCTTATACTTTTTTTTGATACTTAAATTATTCATATTAGTATTTTAACATCAATTGTGTTAGACTGTGAGTCGCAATTCATCTCAGACTTTTAAAGTGAGTTTAGCAAATGATTAATAGTTAAGTTGAAGCTTTCAGTAGCTCATCACATGCAAATAGATGATCAGACTGAGATTGTTAAACAGTACCTGATGATCAAGCTTATTTATATATAAACTACTATCAGAACAACTGAAATAAATAACTGTTAATAATAAACTATATAGCTGAAGTTCTAATAAATAAATCAATTAAGATAGCATTATTTCTAACTGCTTATGAATATGAATTTTGAATATTCTTTGATTGAAAGCCACTACTGAAAACACTATCTAAAGAAAAGAATTTTAAGTAATAAGATATCTGATAGTATATTATTTAAATGAAGAAGATCTAAAAGATGATAGCAAATAATGTGAAAAAAAAACAAAGAATTGTGAAATTACATATTAAGAAGTACTGTCAAAAGTTAAACTTTGAAATAGAAAATAAAATCTTCCTATTACTCAAGAACTATAGAATTCAATACCTTAGCAGAAAGCTTATAAAGCAAAATAAAAACTCTTTTGAGATCATTGAGAGAGTTGATAATAACTACAAACTAAGACTACTAAATAGCATAAAAATTTATTTAATATTCTCTTCTAATAAGCTATAAAAAGCTATAAATAATCTTTTATGAGAACAACTAAATAAGGTATCAGAACTAATTAAAATATAAAAAGAAAATAAGTAAAAAGTTGAGAATGTTTTAGCAAGCTGTATCTTCTGTGAAAAGCTTTAATACTAAGTAAAATGACTAGAATTTGATAAAATTTCAACATGGTATTCAGCATAAAATATAAAGAGATCATCATATCTGATTCAATAATTTTATATTGTAAATTTAATAAAAACAAAGTTTATAAAATAATTAAATAAATAGTTGAAAGCTTGAAAAAAGAATAACTATCTAACAGATAAAGCAGATAATAATATATTAATATGAGAGTATATCTAGGCTTCAAGAGAGAGTAATATGATGATATAGAACAGACTTACATCTAGTCTTTTTTAACAGTGTAATTACTATAGGCTGAAATAATCAGTTATTATATAGGCTAAAATAATTAGTAATTGCAATTGTTTAGATAACAGCAAATAACATCATAATTACTTTGTATATAAGTAATATATAAATATGGCAATT